AAAAGCCATGGTCTGCAGAGAGCTTCCAACGCATCAGAAGCGGATATAGTGAATGCAGGGTGGGGAGAGCGGATATGTCATTGTTGAAAGGTATCAGTAAGGAGAAGGGTACAAAAGAATTTCCAAGGCATTAGATATACTATGGAACACAGTGAAGACAGTCATCATCAAGTTGAGAAAATATGGAGCAACAGTGACATTACCAAGAACTGGACGTCCCTCCAAAATGGATGAAAAGACGAGAAGAAAACTGGTCTGGGAGGCTGCCAAGTGGCCTACAGCAACATTAAAGGAGCTGCAGGGATATCTGTCAAGTTCTGGCTGTGTGGTCCATGTGACAACAATCTCATGTATTCTTCATATGTCTGGGCTGTGGGGTAGAGTGGCAAGACGGAAGGCTTTTCTTACGAAGAAAAACATCCAAGCCCTGTTAAATTTTGCAAAAACACATCTGAAGTCTCCCAAAAGCATGTGGGAAAATGTGTTATGGTCTGATGAAACCAAGGTTGAACCTTTTGGACATAATTCCAAAAGATATGTTTGGAGCAAAAACAACACTGTCCATCACCAAAAGAACACCATACCCACCGTGAAGCATGGTGGTGGCAGCATCATGCTTTGGGGCTGTTTTTCTTCAGCTGGAACTGGGGCCTTAGTCAAGGTAGAGGGAATTATGAACAGTTCCAAATACCAGTCAATATCGGCACAAAACCTTCAGGCTTCTGCTAGAAAGTTGAACATGACAACGACCCAAAGCATCCATCCAAATCAATAAAGGAATGGCTTCACCAGAAGAGGAAAGTTTTGGAATGGCCCCAGCCAGAGCCCAGACCTGAATTTGATGGAAAATCTGTGGGGTGATCTGCAGAGGGCTGTGTTCAGGAGATGCCCTCACAATCTGACAGATTTGGAGTGTTTTTGCAAGGCAGAATGAAGATGTGCCATGCTGATAGACTCATACCCAAAAAGACTGAGTGCTGGAATCACATCAAAAGGTGCTTCAACAAAGTATTAGTTTAAGGGTGTGCACATTTATGCAACCAGGTTATTTTAGTTTTTTATTTTTACTTCCCTCCACCTAAAAGATTTCAGTTTGTTGTTCAACTGAGTTGTGCAGTTTATAGGTCACATTAAAGGTGACAAAAGTTCTGAAATGATTTATATTTGTCACATTTTTTACATCACAGAAACCTGACATTTTAACAGGGGTGTGAAGACTTTTTATATCCACTGTAAATACTCACTTTTGAGATGTTACACTTCTTTATTAAAACACAAAGAGGTGTCTGTACACATCTGTGCATCTTTCATTACATTCATTCATTCTTACATTCCAATGCGCATACTGACCTCAGCCTAGATATAGTTTTCTTGGCCTGTCCCCTCTCATATTCGGCACCTCATTTTTGGTCTGACTTATGGACCAACACACGGCTGGACCAACATGGGGTGGGTGGAAAAAACCGACCTCCTAGCTAATGCTGGTTCTTGGACTATAGAGTGCAATAGATTTCTGAAGCGGTTAAGTGCATTTATCCCTTTGTGCCTGATTTGCACTTATAATACGTTTAGCCACCATTGGGGAGTGACAAGTTTCTCCAGTGTTTTGTCCACAAGACATGGTGCACTCTAGTATGGGACCTGCAACCAGTTTTGTCTTACCCTCTTTAGTTGGCCCCATAAAATTCTTTGGTGATTTTGTCGGCACCCTAAGGGCCTCTTGCAACAGGCTTCCATCTCATTTGAAAAGCAGAAACAGTATTATCAGCTGTAGACCGCTCAGGAAAGCTCCCTGCAAGCAGCTGGCCACCAAAGCAGCCCATGAGAGCTCCTTGGCCATCGGCCGAGTCAAGAATCCTCACCGCTACAGGTTTGGCACTGTGGCTCTCTGAGAGATACGATGCTACCAGAAATCCACCAAGCTGCTGATTAGAAAGCTTCTCTTCCAGTGACTCATCAGGAGATCACCTAGCACTTCAAGACCGACCTGCTCTTCCATAGCTCTATTGTCATGGGACTGCAGGAGGCCTACCCCATAGGACCTTTTTTAGGACATCAATCTTTATGCCATACAAGCCAAGAGGGTCACCATCATGACCAAAGACATACACTTGGCATGCAAGTTTCGTAGAGCATGGGCAAAGAACATCACCACCCAGACTTTGGACTTGAGTTGATTGCACCAATTGGAGATGCTTTTGAGATCATTCAGAATCGGCTGACAGCTGCATTTGACCTTCAGCTGAGCATCTTCTAACTTGCAAAATGATCTGGTATAAGTGGCTTTTTGTATTTCCACAGAATTGTATGGGAATGCAAAATCAGTTTGAGGCAAAAAAAAAAGCAGATGGCACTGGAGATTACAGCATGTTGGAGGGATCGAGGCAGTGTAACTTGAATACTATGAAAAGGTCAGCCCACCCCAAAACATACACTATATTGCCAAAAAAATTGGGCCAGCCCTCCATATCATGTGATTCAGGTGTTCCAATCCCCTCCATGGACACAGGTGTACACAATCAAGCCCCTAGGCATGCAGACTGCTTCTACAAACATTGGTGAAAGAATGGGTCGCTCTCAGGAGCTCAGTGACTCCAAGCGTGGTCCCGTGATAGGTGGCCACCTGTGCAATAAGTCCATCCGTGACATTTCCTGGCTACTAAATATTCCACGCTCAACTGTTAGTGGGATTATAACAAAGTGGAAGCAACTGGGAACAACAGCCACTCAGCCACCAAGTGGTAGGCCACGTCACATGACAGAGCGGGGTCAGCGTATGCTGAAGCGCACAGTGCGCAGAAGTCACCAACTGTCTGCAGAGTCAATAGCTAAAGACCTCCAAACTTGGTGTGGCCTTCAGATTAGCACAACAACAGTGTGTAGAGAGCTTCATGAAATGGCTTTCCATGGCCGAGCAGCTGCATCCAAGCCTTCCATCACCAAGTGCAATGCAAAGCGTCGGATGCTGTGGTGTAAAGCATGCCACCACTGGACTCTAGAGCAGGGGAGACGTGCTCTCTGGAGTGACCAATCACGCTTCTCTGTCTGGCAATCCGATGGACATGTCTGGGTTTGGCAGTTGCCAGGAGAACAGTACTTGCCTGATTGCATTGTGCCAAGTGTAAAGTTTGGTGGAGGGGGGATTATGGTGTTGGGTTGTTTTTCAGGGGTTGAGCTTGGCCCCCTAGTTCCAGGGAAGGGAATTCTTAAAGGCGTCAGCATACCAAGACATTTTGGACAATTTCATGATCCCAACTTTGTGGGAAATGTTTGGGGATGGCCCCTTCCTGTTCCAACATGACTGCCCACCAGTGCACAAAACAAGGTCCATAAAGACATCAGTGCCTGACCTGACAAATGCACTTCTGGAAGAATGGTCCAACCTTCCCATAGACACCCTCCTAAACCTTGTGGACGGCCTTCCCAGAAGAGTTGAAGCGGTTATAGCTGCAAAGGGCGGGGCCAACTCAATATTGAACCATACGGACTAATGCAGGCCATAGACGGGGAGAAAAACGGCCGATTTTTCTTTTAAAAAACGAAAAATCGGTCGTTCAAGCGGCTGACGTTACCAGCAATGGTAAAAAAAAATCGGCCGATTTTCATCCCGTCTGCAGCCGGCAAAAAGTGTCCCTGCAGAGAGCTCTGCTATTTCTTCTGACAGTTCCTTGACATTTACAGCGGTTGCAACAATGTATCTATTTGTATCCATTTCGGATACAGATGTTTTTATTCGGAAACAAATAGATACATTGTTGCAACCGCTGTAAATGTCAAGGAACTGTCAGAAGAAATAGCGGAGCTCTCTGCAGGGACAGTTTTTGCCGTACTGGAATTCCTCTTATTTTTCATTCTTCTTCCTCTTCATCATCATCATCATCATCATCTTCTCTTCTTCTTCTTCTTCATCATCATCATCCTCTTCTTCTTCTTCATCATCATCATCCTCTTCTTCTTCATCATCATCATCATCATCATCTTCTTCTTCTTCATCATCATCTTCTTCTTCTTCATCATCTTTCTTCTTCATCATCATCATCCTCTTCTTCTTCTTCATCATCCTCTTCTTCTTCATCATCCTCTTCTTCTTCATCATCATCCTCTTCTTCTTCATCCTCATCCTCTTCTTCATCATCATCTTCTTCATCATCATCCTCTTCTTCTTCATCCTCATCCTCTTCTTCTTCTTCATCATCATCTTCTTCTTCATCCTCATCTTCTTCATCATCATCCTCTTCTTCTTCATCATCATCATCCTCTTCTTCTTCATCATCATCATCCTCTTCTTCTTCATCATCATCATCCTCTTCTTCTTCTTCATCATCCTCTTCTTCATCATCCTCTTCTTCTTCTTCCTCTTCTTCTTCTTCCTCTTCCTCTTCTTCTTCTTCCTCTTCCTCCTCTTCTTTTTGTCTTCCTCTTGCAGGTCACTGCTCATGCGCAGATTTTTTATCGGTAAAAAATTGGCCGATTTGCCCATCATTGGCGCGAAAATCGGCCGATCGGCAAAATCGGCCGATTTTTTTTCCAACTTTACCGATAAAAAAAATCTGCCAAAATACCAAAAAATGGCCGAACAAATAGCCCACTAACGATCCAAAAATCGGCTGATTTTATTTTCGGCCGAAAAATCGGCCAATTTTCGACCCATCTATGGCCTGCATAAGCCTGGGAGGCCATTAAAGGTCATGTGTGTGGAAAGGCCGGCCGACCAATACTTTTGGCAATATAGTGTATGTCTTAGATACTTCAAATGTGAGATATCTTTGCCATAAATGTTGGCTCTATGTCTGGCTCTCTGGGTGTTTTAGGTGTTTCCACCCACCTGTGTGCGTTAGCTTCATATAGTGACCACAGGTGTACCGGCCCTTTAATTTTTACTCCTAACAATCCAACACTTCCCATTCTTTTTTTAACAAAATTGGATGACTGCGGACTGATCAGACAGAGACCTGGTATATCCCAAAATTCTGGTTTACTTAGCACTGTACCCTTACCATTTACAATGATGTGTGGGTTTTTTGATGTGTGATTAGGGCTCCCCTCTGAGAAAAACATTTCCCGCACGTGGAACAAGAATATGGTTTCTCTCCTGTATGGATCCTTTCATGATTAGCCAGATTGGATTTGTAACCAAATCGTTTCCAGCATATGGGACATGAATACGGCTTCTCTCCTGTGTGAGTTCTCTGGTGTGACGTGAGATGAGATCGCTGCGTGAAACATTTCCCACACTCAGAACAAGAATAGGGCTTCTCCTCTGTGTGAGTCCTTTGATGGGAGATGAGATGGGCTCTCTGGGTAAACAGCCTGCCACATTCGGCGCAGGAGAACGGCTTTTCCCCCGTGTGAAGTTTTTCATGTCTCGTAAGATCTGATTTCTGCATGAAACATTTCCCGCACACAGAACACCAGAATGGTTTATCGCCAGTGTGGCTTTTTTGATGTCTCCTTAGAAAAAAGTTTTGTGTAAAACATTTCCCGCACTCTGGACATGAGTAAGGCTTTTCGACAGTGTGGCCTCTCTGGTGAGAAAGGAGTTCTTCTCTGCCTGTAAAACATTCACCGCAGCCAGAACAGAGGAACATTTCCCCAGGTCTGCTAGGCACTTGATAGGTGACAGAATGGCCATGATCAGGATAACTCCTGCTATATGTAGAAAGATCCGATGACAGATCTGTATTAGGAATTACTGGAAAGAGATTTGGGGCAATGTGGTTTTCTTCTAAAGAATCATATGAGATGTCCTCATCTTCTATCATGGCATTCGGAGAGATACTGGGACATTTCTCTGCATTGTATGTCATGTATTGTCCATCTGAAGGAAACAAGAAATGAAGGGCATTTAGGAAGGATTCGAGAACATTGACCTTTCAGCCAACTACCTACTGCCATTTTAACCCCTCGCCTACCGGGCACTTATACCCCCTTCCTACCCAGGCCAATTTTCAGCTTTCAGCGCTGTTGCACTTTGAATGACAATTGCGCGGTCATGCAACACTGTACCCATATGACATTTTTGTCATTATTTTCACACAAATAGAGCTTTCTTTTGTTGGTATTTAATCACCACTGAGTTTTTTTATTTTTTGCTAAATAAAACAAAAAACACCTGTAACTTTTGAAAAAAAAAACACTTTTCTTCATTTCTGTTATAAAATTTTGCATATAAATAGCATTTCTTCATAAATTTAGGTCAAAATGTATTCTGCTACATTTCTTTGGTGGTGAAAATAATAATAATAATTGAATTTGTATTTTTTTTTTTTCAAATGTTTCTATTATTTTTTTTATTACATTTTTTCTTTTTTTTTTACAATTTTATTTTTCAGCACACTGTGACCAAAGCAATACAATGTTACCATAGTAACATTAAACTACTCTGGGCAAGTGATCAGGATTTTTTTTTTTTTTTTTTAACACATTATGATTGCTAATACCAATGTATTTCATTGATATTTGCAATCATTGTTGCTGAATGAAACTGATTCATTCAGTCTTTTGTTGTAATTAGCTGTGATTGGGCAAAGCTGATCACATGATACAGATGGGCTGAGATTGGCCCTGTCTGTATCATGTGACTGCCTTGACCAGTCACAGCTAACAACATAATTGTATACAATAGATGGCATGACAGGAAGCCATCCATTGTATACAACTGACGTAATCTGCTGTGATTGGTCACAGTGGTCACATGACACTGGCTACGGGCCGGTGTAGTGATATGTCATCGGCTGTGTCCAGATCACGCCGCTGCTCAGCCCCGTGACCGCGAGAGCGGCTCGTTTTAACAGGATGTCATATGATGCCCAGTCACAATGGTGACTGTCCCGCCCAGCCGTCAATCGGTTTCGAGGTTGGCTGAGAATTTTTTTTGGGGGGGTTGGGGTAGTGGGGCGGGGGTGGTGAGGTCGGGGGGGGCTGGTTTCAAGGTCTGCTGAGATAGGTTTTTTTTTGGGGTGGGGTGGGGTGGTGGGGCGGGGGCGGTGAGGTCGGGGTGGCAGGTTTCGAGGTTGGCTGAGATAGTTTTTTTTTTTGGGGTGGGGGAGTCTGGGGGGCTGGTTTCAAGGTCAGCTGAGATAGGTTTTTTTTTGGGGTGGGGTGGTGAGGTCAGGATGGCAGGTTTTGAGGTCGGCTGAGATAGTTTTTTTTTGGACACCAGCATTAGGACGCAGGGCCGTTGATAAGGGGGTACCATCAGTCCTCCTGTACGGGCCCCCCCCCACCCACTGTCTTGTTTTTTATTACTGAATTACACAGATGAAAGGGTGACTCTAGGCCTGGGAGTCAAAGACGAGAGATCACCTGAAGTCTGACAGTTGCTGCTCTGACAACTGCCTGACCTCATGTGAATTGCACCCACTGACTCCAGAACGCATATCCCACCATGGAGCCCTGTCATTAATAGTGATCAAGTACAGGACTCTGTGTTCGATGCAAGGGCCTCTAAGCTCCCAAGCAGATGAACCATTTTCTCTATGCAAAGCAAAGCAAGCAGATGTGGGGTCTAATGGCTAGAGCCCTCAAACTACAACTAAGCTTTGGGTATTGCCTAAGGCAGCCCATAGATCAGGGGTCTCCAAACTATGGCCCTCCAGCTGTTGAAGTACTATAAGTCCCATCATGTTTCTATCTCTGGGAGTCTTGGCTGTGGCTGTCAGTCTTGCAAGGCCTCATGGGACTAGCAGTTCCTCAACACCTGGAGGGCCATAGTTTGGAGACCCCTACCATAGATGATTTGTTTTTTTTTCATTCAACCATTTCATTCCCCCATCCACACATTTGAGGTGGACGGGGAGAATCCTCCCACTGTGCCTTTGTAGTATGACAGTAGGGCGACTTCCCTGCTACTAGAATACACCGATCAGTGCTTTTGGCACTATGGGTGGGCACTGTGGGCCAGTGGCACTGATCATGCAGCAAAAAATTCAACAGGGCAGCTGTACAGAAGTCAAGTGGTAGTTTCAACTTCTGCTTAACCACCCTGCCCATGCATGGATTGAAATTCAGCCAGTCCCTACTGAACCGGCCGAATTTCGAACCATGTATGGCAGGCTTTAGCAGTGATGCGTTGAGGAAGAAGTGTGGTAATCTACACAACGTTTTGAAGATTCCTCACATCAGTATGGAAATTAGCGGCACAGAAAACACTATCATAGGATTCAGGTTTTTAAAAAGTATTGTGAAATTAATCTTTATTTTGCCATTATGATTCGAAGAAGTCCAACAAAAACTGTCTATTGACTGACCCTTCCAACCACTGGGCACATACTGTCTTCCCATAACTGTCTTCAGTCAGAGGAGGGGGGAGAAGAAGAGATTGTAGTGACTGAACAAGGAGGATCTGGAACCTTTTTTGGAATTTAGTGTTTATTCCTCACCTGTGCTGATCTCTGGAGGGATCTCCTTCTCCTTGCATTGATCATCATCCTCTGTGTATGTTTCTTCTTCATCTATATCTTCAACTTTGGTGATAATGAGGTCCCCAACCTAAATTTGTCACAAAGAATATTTACTGTAAGTTCCATTTATTCATTAGAACGGCAAAAAATAATTAGTTCATGTGATCATCTAATTTTGTGGACTGGTCATTGTTTGGTAGCTCCCCCCTACCTCATAGTCCTCTGGGAAGTTGAGATGTTCCTGTGTGGAATCCCAAGAATACACAGGACTTGGACAACTCTCTGGGGTATTTCTATTGTTTGATCCATCTGTAGGAAACACACACACTGACTGAATATTTTGTTTCTATGTCTTTCTATCAGAGGGTGTGTGTATCTAGGTGGATCCTCAATGAAAGTCTCCTCTTACCCGGTGATGTGAGGGGCGGCCGGTTCTCCATCATGACATCCTTGTAGAGATCCTTGTGTCCTTCTATATACTCCCACTCCTCAATGGAGAAATTGACAGTGACATCCTGACACCTTACAGGAACCTGACACATACAATGATACCATCACCATCCAGACCAGCCTTTCTCAGCCTTTTCAACGTAGAGGAACCCTTGACATAACTTTCCAGTCTCAGGGAACCCCTACTAAAAATGACATTATCTACAATTCATTAGTGTGATAGTCAGAGGTTTGAATGTTCCTTACACTCATGTCATTGGGAAGAATTACCCCTTACAGATAGCTAAAAAAGATCAATGGTGTCGGTGGGAACTTACCTGAGAGGCAGAAATTGTTCATTGCTCAAGGCAACCTGTCAACCTCTGGAGGAACCCTAGTTGAGGAACCTTTGAAATAGCTTTCTGGTCTTAGGGAACCTGTCAGGAATGGACTGGCCAGCAATAGTGGGACTCAGCTGCCTTATGAGCTGCAGTACCAGGGCTGGCCAGCGGTTGCTCCCAGCAATCAGAGACTCAACCTTGCAGCCAGTCAAACACCTGGAACTAATTATACTGGTGTATTTAAGGGACATTCAGACCTGCAGACTCTGCCTTGGTGTTGTGTTTCTCTTGGGCCCTGTATCCTGTTCCTGCTCTCTGTTCCTGTCTGATTCTCTGCTGACCCTGCTCTGATCCCTGGCTTGTCTGACCATTCTCCTCTGCCTGACCCTCTGTACCACGCTGCCCGCTACCTGCTGAACCTGGCCTGTGACCCCGACCATTCTCCGCTTGCTCCCCCTGTACCTACCTGCCCGACTGATATTGACCCGGCCTGCCTGACGACACTTGCATTGTATGTACTGTTATCTGTGGGTGGTTGGTTGGTTTGTTTGCACTGTGTTATGTTTTAGTATTGCACTGCGTTTATGTTTGTATTGTTAGCGTTAATAAATTATATTGTTTATAACATATCTGAAGTCTGCGTTTCCCTGCGTCAGTCACACACCTCTGGTCATACCCGGGAGCCCTGACAGAACCCCTGCTAAAAATGATTGGATCTACAACTCAGGATACCTCTGTGTGATGGTCAGTGGGAAGAATGTTCCTTTCACTTGTGGTCATTGGGAAGAATCACTCCCTTACAGATAGCTAAAAAGATCAATGGTGTCGGTGGGGACTTATCTGAGAGGCAGAAATTGTTCATTGCTCAAGGCAACCTCTGGAGGAACTCTAGTTGAGGAACCTTTGAAATAGCTTTCCGGTCTCCGGGAACCACTGAAAAAAAATAGCTAGATCTACATCTCATGATACTTCTGTGTGATGGTCAGTGGGAAGAATGTTCCTTACACTTGTGGTCATTGGGAAGAATTACACCCTTACAGATAGCTAAAAAGATCAATGGTTGTGGGCGGTTATTTCCGTCTTCGCGATTTTATGACGGGGCCCCCGCCTGAAGTTTCCGATGGAGATAGGCAGATGTTTGTTCCTCCTTTGGACAGTTGGTGGTTACAGCAATCTGTTAATTTCTTGTCTTCCTTGACTCATAAAGGATTGGACTTTCGAGGATCTTTGCGTTGCCCCTGAGCCCACCTCACAAGCCATCTCGTTGGATTACAAGCTGCTCAGTCAACTAGATGACATATTTGTGCCGTTTCTTCTCAAAATGGGAGAAGTTGCACAGGACATTTTCACCTGTGCAGAGGAACCACATCTTGTATTTTGCCCATCGTTCCTCCAGTAAATATCAGGAATTGGGGTACAAATTATTTACACGGTGGTATAGGGTTCCGCTCCTCCTGCATAAGATCTTACCTAAGGCCACGAAGGTATGCTGGCACTGTAAGGAAGAGGATGGCTCGCTCTTACATATCTTTTGGTCTTGTAGGAAACTGACTGCCTTTTGGGCGCAGGTTAGGGACCTTATTAAACGCCTGACTGAGTTTGATCTGGGGGATGACCCTGCTGCTTATCTGCTGCTCCACTCAGATCTCTCTAAGAAACGTTTCAAATGCTCTTTGTTGGTGCATTTCCTCAATACTGCTCGGGCCTGTATACCAGCTCTCTGGAAGCATGAGGCTTCCCACTCTATTTCTATGTGGTTTTCTAGGGTGGAGGACATACACTCAATGGAAAATATTATGGCGGCGGTTGGGGTCAGGAGGCCCAGTTTCACCAGAAATGGATCCACTGGTCTCTCTTTACCTGTTCAAGTGAATATGATTCCTTGTTGCACTCGATGGCTTGAATTCCCTTCGTCATTCTCTCTTTTTGTCCCTTTGCTGTGGCTTAATTTTTCCTTCCTTTCTGTGTTGTATTCCCCCTTCCCTTCCCCCCCCTTTTTTTTTCCTTCCTTCATCCTTCTTTCCCTTTTCTTTCTGTTGTGGATGCTGCTGGTGTTTGCTTATGGATAACAGTCGGGTCTGTTTGTATTGAATTTCGACCCAAATTTCTGTTTTTTGGGATGGCAATTTGATTTTTTATGTATCTGGACTGAACCTGGTTCGTTGTCTTTTATGGCAGCATCCAGCTACTTGCCGTATTCTTGTATGTTTGTAATGTGAAAAAGCTGTTTAAATAAAGAATGTTCAAAAAAAAAAAAAGATCAGTGGTGTCAGTGGGAACTTATCTAGGAGGCAAAAATTGCTGATTGCTCAAGGAGCCCCTGGCAATCTCTGGAGGATCCCTGGTTGAGAAACCCTGATCCAGACACATCCCTTGTCTGTTATATATATCCCAGAATTCCCAGCTTACCTCTTCTGTTAGCAGCTCAGTGATTTCTCTGGTGACTTCTAGAATCTTCTTGTTGCTCATCTCAGATATTGGACAATGTGGTAGAGATTCCATTGTGGGGTTTCGGCTCCTAGTACATCTTCCAGACACAAGAGGATGGCTTTTGGATGTGATGTGATCAGCAGATGTTTTCTTCACTACAGTATAGTCCTGTGCATTAACATATGAATATACAGTGTTCAAAACAATAGTAGTGTGTTGAAAAAAGTGAATAAAGCTCAAAATCCTTCTAATAGCTTTTATTTCCATACACGCAAATGCATTGGGAACACTACACATTCTATTCCAAATCAAAACATGAAGAAAAATATATCAAATTTTGTTGTTCCTCTAAAAAAATTGAAGAAAAGTGAATATTAGACTGTTCAAAAAAAAATAGCAGTGTTTGTATTCTTCTTTACAAACTCAAACATTCACTATATAAACTGAAAAATGTTTGAAGACGTCAATCTTGTTGGTCTGGAACCAAGATGTTGCACGTTTACTGGTGTGTTTGGGGTCGTTGTCTTGTTGGAACACCCATTTCAAGGGCATTTCCTCTTCAGCATAAGGCAGCATGACCTCTTCAAGTATTCTGATGTATTCAAACTGATCCATGATCCCTGGTATGCGATAAATAGGCCCAACACCGTAGTATGAGAAACATCCCCATATCATGATGCTTGCACAACCATGCTTCACTGTCTTCACAGTGTACTGTGCCTTGAATTCAGTGTTTGGGGGTCGTCTGACAAACTGTCTCCGGCAACTAGACCCAAAAAAGAACAATCTTACTTTCATCAGTCCACAAAATGTTGCACCATTTCTCTTTAGGCCAGTCAATGTGCTCTTTGGTAAATTGTAACCTCTTCAGCACGTCTTTTTTTCAACAGTGGGACTTTGCGGGGGCTTCTTGCAGATAGCTTGGCTTCACATAGGCATCTTCTAATTGTAACAGTACTCACAGGTAACTTTACACCTTCTTTGATCTTCCTGGAGCTGATTGTTGGCTGAGTCCTTGCCATTTTGGCTATTCTTCTATCCATTTGAATGGTAGTTTTTTGCTTTCTTCCACGACTTTCAGGTTTTGGTTGCCATTTTAAAGCATTTGCGATCATTTTAGCTGAGCAGCCTATCATTTTCTGCACTTCTCTATATGTTTTCCCCTCTCCAATCAACTTTTTAATCAAGGCACGCTGTTCTTCTGAACAATGTCTGGAACGCCCCATTTTCCTCAGAATTTCAGAGAGAAATGCACTGTAACCAGCATGTACAACATTTGCTGCCTTCCTTCCTTAAATAAGGGCAGTAATTGCCACCTGTTTTTCAAAGAATGAATGACCTCACTAATAGAACTCCACACTGCTATTATTTTGAACATGCCCCTTTCAATTAGTGATTCAATTACACAGAATCAGCAGCATGCATGTCATGACTGTTGGGTCTGTTGGATTTCTATTACTCTACTACACCTGCTAGTAAATTATTTGACATGTAGAGATATCATTTTGACCAAAAACAGTGATTGATCAGGTTAGTGATGTCTGACTGCTATTATTTTGAACACAACAGTATATGATCAGAAGCAGGTAGAATATTCTGCAGGCGGTTTGCAATTTCTGTACTCTTGTTAAGGCTTGACTTTCACTTGATCACACACCTTACCTAAATAGTTGTGCAATTATTCAAATATATACCGCTTTAAATAATATTTATAATTTAAATATAAATGATGGCTGGAAGAGGTTGCAATGGTGGTAAAGCACATCTCTTCATGGTGATAACCCTGTGCCAAAACTAGCCATGTTCCTGGGGGTGGCTTTCCCAGAATCCTCCTCTCCTCTCCAGTCACCTCTGTGTTTTATTAATAGAGATAAGAGTGATGTCATGTGACCTCCCAGAATCCTCCTCACCTCTCCGGTCAGGTCTGTATTTTATTAATAGAGATCAGAATGATGTCATGTGACCTCCCAGAATCCTCCTCACCTCTCCGGTCAGGTCTGTGTTTTAATAGAGATCAGAATGATGTCATGTGACCTCCCAGAATCCTCCTCACCTCTCTGGTCAGGTCTGTTTTATTAATAGAGATAACAGTGATGTCATGTGACCTCCCAGAATCCTCCTCACCTCTCTGGTCAGGTCTGTATTATTAATACAGATAAGAGTGAGGTCATATGACCTCCCAGAATCCTCCTCACCTCTCCGGTCAGGTCCGTGTTTTATTAATAAAGATGAGTGATGTCATGTGACCTCCCAGAATCCTCCTCACCTCTCTGGTCAGGTCCGTGTTTTATTAATAGAGATGAGTGATGTCATGTGACCTACCAGAATCCTCCTCACCTCTC